AGATATTTTCATCTTGACACAATTGTTGTCGTGTCTCTGTCCAACACAGAACAAGATGACAGTTGTCCCAGACTGGAAATATTCCACGAGTAACCAGTTCCGTGCCATGTTCAATGCCACGCCTACTCTGGCTCAGGGATAAGGAGGTTATGTCCTGAACAGGTTTTTGATTTTCTGGCAGCGTACTCTGCTTTTCGGGCCGGAGGATACAATTCGCGGGGTAAGCGCCAAAACTAAATCACTGCGTGCGGTGGCGTGATGCTTCATCTCCACTACTGCTCGTATTGCACTGGTTGGGAGACGTCATATGCACTGAGACTTCACTGCGCCACCATAGCTTGGATCGCCTGGCCCGCACCTTGACGCTCTCTAGCTCTGTGGGCTATTGTACCTAATAGAACAAGCGAAGCTAGATAATCTCAGAGAGAATCAAGATGCGAACTGCGAGCTGGCTGCGTACCTGCAAAGCAGTATTTTGAGCCATCGTTCTGTGCTAATTACCTGAATATCCATGAGATTCATGCCACTTCCATCCGTGTAATCGATCGGAGCGATATCTCCAAGAAACAGTGAACAGACAAATGACGACACCACTGATATTCGCTAAAAATCGGTAGAAGTCATTTTAAAGGTATATCATTGGCATTACTACTGAAAAGGATACCGCTCCGCTGTCATTTGTCTGTCCCGTTTTGGAAAGCGGCACATTTCATTTCACCATGCAGAACCGTAATTTAGTTTGACGGATGTATTGTGACCTTCACAAGGTCTGCGCTCAGGCCAGTTAGTGTTTTTACCGTCCCCGACGAGTCTGGTACCAATCAACTGGGTCCGGAAGAGTGGAAGCGTCGCTCGGCCCGAGGTTTGATCCCCGCACCGCGTGCTTGGTAAGCATGCAACTTACATTATCTCCACCTCATGCTATCCTATAGATATCGCATGGAAAAATACGAGCTCATAAATAGGAGGACTGCTTTATACGGAAGCGACAAAATGTAATTCCAGGCCAGGACACGTCAAGAAGCTCTGCATCACCTTA